TGTATTGCATGTGTTTCAGTATGAGAATGATTCAGGAGGGAAGACAGCAGGAGAGGGAATAGTTGCTACAGCAAAGTACTTGAGCACTTCACAAAAGCTTTTGACAAAGCTAACATCCTTTCTTAATAACTCAGCAAAATAAGTATGGTAGAATGAGATTTCTCTTAAAAAGAGGTCCTCTGTGTGAAACAGCTATAAGGTCATACGGATTCAATGATGAAAGACGGAATGTGTTCCCCACCAAGACTGCAAGCAAGGTCGGTCTCACTTCTGTTTAACATTGTGCTGGAGGTCCTAGCCAGCACAAAAGGCAAGCAGAAGGCGTAAAAGTCAGATGGGAAGAAATGAAACTGTCTTTATTTTCTGTGGAGAAAAGCCGAAGCAACTCCAAGAGGGCCACTAGAACTAATTAGTATGTTTTGCAAGGTCATAAGAGAGATGGTGTTCAAAGGTGAATGCCATTTCTATACACTGGCACGAGCAGTTGGAAATTGAAATTATACTAGTTGGTTCTCTAGACCTGTTTTGTTTCTCAAACTGTCATAAAGGGTCCTATTTTAAAATTTTAATCAGATAAAGACAGTCGAGTATAATTATAAAAATGTCATAAGGCAGACAGATTACAAGCCCAAAGTTGTCAGTAGATTCAATGCAGAAGTAAGTTTTAGCAAATGCATCCAGGACAAACAGGCATAAGAGAAGAATTTTAAAATGTGTATGTTTATAAGAAGTTAATGTAAAATCAACTACTGTAGCATTTTGTCATTCTGTATCTGATCAAAAGTGAATCAAATGATCCTTTATGTTAAGTGCCCGTTGAGCACTATGAAAAAATAGTGTCAATATTTAAAATTTTGAGAACTTATCAAGGTGAGAGCTTTCTTGTTTGTTAATTTACCCACTGTAGATTACACTGACAATAATGCCACTCTCAGAATAAAGGATGTGTAAGTTGTGTCTGTGTTTACCCAAAATATCAGAAAAACCCAATAGTAGATATGAATAGAGTTCCATAACAGGTCTTTATGTGAAAATTTACTATTTAATAAAATTTACTGTTTTCTTTTTTGCAATATGGGGATTTAAATAAAGGCCTCACACTGAGCTACCTCCCTACCCTTTTTCTTTCTTATTTCAGCTTTGAGACAGGGTCTTGCTGAGTTGTCTACAATACTACGTTTGAACTTGCAGTCCTCCTGCCCCAGCCTCTGAGTAACTGGGGTAATAGGTGTATGCCTCGCTTGGCATTGTGGCACACAATCTGAAGCCAACCTTGGCTACATGGTAAGTTCCAGGCCAGCCTAAAGTACACAGCAAGACCCTGTCTCAGGGGAAAAAAAAATTAATTGGGAGAGGAGTAGCTTTTTAATAAATGAGCTTCTTTGATTGTTGTTTGATTATACTTGGAGGAAAAGTTACATCTTTGCCCACACTAAAATCTAAATATAATACTCAGGGGCTGGTGAGATGGCTCAGTGGTCTAAAGCACCTACTTGAAACAAGCTTGGCAAAGCACAGGGACCGCGGTTCAATCCCCCGGCACCACATGCCAGCCAGCTGCGCCCCCTGGTGGGCTGAGCTGGCCACACACACACACACAATAAATAAATGTAATAAATAAAAATAAATAAATATTTAAAAAAAAATAAAATAAAAAAATAAAATAAAAAAATAAATATAATACTCAAATACAGAGCACATAAAAAAATTGTTGTCAGTGACGGTCCTCTGTAGTGTATGAGCCACACTCAGATAAGCAAGTGGGTTTCTCCATCTATTTTTTTAATCAAGGAATAATTTATAAACAATAAAAAGATCTGTGATCCTTCGAGGCATTTTGGAATCCCCTGTGTCACTGTCACCCCAATCATTTTCTTTTCCCTTCATGGTTCCTTCCTGCTTGTTTCTGCTCAGTGCAGACTTCTAGAGGCACCTGCCGGCCCCATTTCCATCACATGGATTAATTTCACTTTTTAAAACTTCATATAAATAGAAGAGCATTGAATGGACTCTGTCTTATCTAGCTTCTTTCACCCAGTGTGTAATTATCTGAGCTTTGTCCATGACTGAGTGTATATCAGTAATTTACAACTTTTTATTGCTGAGTACTATTCCGTTTATGACTGTTGCAGTTAGTTTAGCCATTCTTCTGTTGATGGATGCATATCATTCTGTTCATATGGAAATATATCACAGTAGTGACTTCTCTCTGTTCCCTGCATGAGACCACAAGTTCACTGGATATACAGACCCTGCCTAAATCATGCTTGAGTTCCTACCAGGTAAGTGGTGCTTAGTGGACAGTAGTTGTTTATTAAATGTTTGCTTTTGAATAAGGAGGTAGGAGAAAGCAAGTCAGTTGGATATTACTTTGAATGACAGGAGAGGAAGGATTTCTCCCAGGGTGAGAGGATGGGAAAAGCTCCTGAGTTGTGCTTCTTAGTGGTACCTGGTCCTTCCTGGAAAGGATGCGCCACCTTCAGGAAAAGCTTCCATATTTGTGTGTGGGTATTTTAGAAAGAGAGACACTGAGATACACGAGACTTGTTGATGGCTATCTGGTTTCAGCCAATGAACCAACTGGTCTGTGTCACCTACCTCACCAGAACAGCCTTTGCTTCTCCCAGGGAAGGCAGGTAACTGTGTTGTCTCCTCTACAGAGTTGATACAGAGCTTTCAATCTGCCCTGAATCCAAGAGCCCTTGTTTGTCATTTTCATTGCAGGTAATTAAAAAATTAGTATTTGCAGGGCCGGGGAGATAGCTCAGTAGAATAAGTGCTTGCCTGGTAAGCTCAAGGGCCTGAGTTCAATCCCCGGTTCCACAAAAAAAAAAAAAAAAAAGTATTTGAAATGAGTGAACTCCAGCAGGAATGATGACTTTGATTTAAAACCTCAAGCGGTCACAGCTGGGCACGTGATTAGATCTTGACCCTGCTCCTGCTCAGCTCCCACCCTGCGGGCAAGTCCACAGGAAGGGCTCTGCCTGCCCTGGCTGGAGGGTAGGCCAGGAGGAGGAGCACTGTCTGGGAAGCAGGGAGGATGGGACCGGGTGTCCTGTCCTGTATGTAGTTGTTAGGGCTTGTGTCTAGCTGTCCCCCCAAAGCCGCATGCAGTCATAGATAGGGCTTGTTTGGAGGTGGCTGGATCTAGACTGTGTGATGCTAGAACTGATTCATGGTGTGACGCTAGGACAAGGGCCCTAGGTTTAAGGGTGTGGTGCTGCCTGCCCTAAGCAGCCTGGGTAAGATGAAAGGGGCAGGAAGACACTGTTAAGGTTCCTTATGGCTTTGTTACCTCCTGCCCCCATGAACTGTTACCCTGCTGCCACGTGCCACCCTGCCTTGGAGCCAGCCGATTGTGGACTGAAACTTGTAAGCCAAGTAAACCTTTTCCTCCACTAACTTTGGGTGTTGGGCGTTTTGTCTCAACAAAAAGTAAGACAATGGCTTATTTTCCTTTTTACAGATCTATGGAGGTATGACTGATGAGATAAATGGCACGTATATAAGAGTGTAACGTGAACATTTTGACACATGTGAGAAATCCACCCCCACAGTGCAGATAGTGAACGTATCCATCACTTAATCCTTTCTCATGTGCTTTTATAATCTCTCTACCTCTGCTCCACCTCTTCCCCCCCGGCAACAACCAGTCTTATCTCTGTCACTATGGTTTTTTTGTTTTGCATTTTAAAAAGTTTTCTATGTGAAATGAAATATATACATTCATGATGTATACATACACTGCATGTGTGTGTGTGTGTGTGTGTTTATTCCTTTTCTCCAGTTCAATCTGAGCCAACCAGAAAGCCCAATGAATGCGTCCCTTGGGATTTTTTTGTTCCATGCAAGGTCTCACTATGCAGCTCAGATTCTATTATCCCAGCTGACTTTTCTTTTTCTTTCTTTCTTTCTTTCTTTCTTTCTTTCTTTCTTTCTTTCTTTCTTTTCTTTCTTTTTTAACATATTTGGTACAGGTTCTCACTAGGCAGCTTGGATTCATATGATCCTCGTGTTTCAGCCTTCCCATCACTGGGATTATGGGTGTATGCTCTCATGCCTGGTCTCAGTGGCCAGCTCAGTGCTCACGTGGCATGTGGTGCTGGGCTTGAAACCTGGCCCCTGTGCTTGCCTAAGCAGGCGCTTAGTACACTGAGCTCTCTTGCCAGCCCCAGCAATTTGTTTTAAGCTGTACAGGTAACGCCTCAAGAGTTAGCCAACTACTCTGCACAATTGTGGTTGGCAATCTTGTGTTAGATTTCATGCACACAGGCCAGGGTTTAATGTTATCAAGCAGATTAGAGCCTGGAGGTGGTGGTTACCATTCTGGAACCCATTGGCACAATGTGTTTAGTGCCTTTCACCTGTGAGTTAATGAGGTTCCTGTATGATCGGGTTAAGCATGGCGAATCCTACTGCATGATGTTTCCCTGTTGCCAGAGCTATGGAAGGGGGCCCTAGCACTGTCCCCACCAACCTTGGTGCTGCAGGAGCTGCGCAGGGCCCTTGTCCTCCACGTAGATTTTAAGCTCCCGCTCCGCAGGTCTCTGGGCTGTTGCCTAAACGCTGCACCTGAGTACACAGCGAGAGGGATCTCCACGCTGCTGGCTAACGGCAGTCATGACAGTATACTCGCTGGGTTGCGATACCTGTCTATGGTGAATTTTTCTGTGTGCCAAGGTACTTGGGCCCTGACTTCTGTCCCGTAATTCTAGAACGCAGAGACCTGGTGGGACTGGGAGACTGCCCTGTGGGTGACAGCTGTGTGGAGCCAGAGGACCGACTGTGTGCCCTGCAGGGAAGCATGCAGCACGCAGAGCTGGCCCAGGGGCCCACGCACACAGCCTTCCAGTGAGACTGGTGCCGCAGCTTCAATGTGCACAGAGGTCACATTTCCTCCTGGGAAGGAGCCGCAGTGCTTCTCTGGACGTCTTGGGGGAAGGCAGCTCATCAAGTGAGGGGGACACAGGGCTAACAGTGCCAGTGCCAGGGGCTTCAGCTGTGCTGTTTCACCAGAAGCTAGCCAGCCCCTTTGGCGCTGTGGGCTGCAGAAGCATGGACACATGCGGCAGTTGCAGGAACCTCAGGGGCTCAGGAGATGGTGGGGAGGGGAAGGGCCGTCACCCCACTGTGGTCCTGCCACAGGGTCCCTCTCATTTAACAGGCTGGGTAGGGAGGGGGTGGAGGAGTCGAAGAGCTGCTGCTGGCTCTCCATCTTGGCTTTCTTTGCCTCCTCCCAGGGTATCCTCTGGTGTCCCTACCACTGAGCCCTCCATCTCCTGTCCCCATCCATCAACCTCCCAGGTGTCCTTTATTTTTGTATGAAAGTCCCCTAGGCATACCTCTCCAAAAGGAGATCTCAGAAGAGGTTAGCATCCCACACCTGCCAGTCTGCTACAGTGAGCATTGCCGCGAGTGGCCGGGGAGCTCTTGGGATGCAGTTAGTAAAAATATTTTAGTAAATTTAGATTTAAGGGCCCGGGGAGATAGCTCAGTAGAATAAGCACTTGCCTGGCAAGCGCAGGATCCTGAGTTCAATCCCCAGTACCTCAGAAAAAAAAAAAAAAAATTAGATTTAAGAGCTGATGACTTTCAATAATTTGAAATTGTTTAAAATATGTTTGGGACAACTCTGCTTTTTCAACTGTTAATTTTATGAAATATAAATGCAAATCAAATATTTACAAGGAAACTTTAGCATCTGAATTGAGATATGTGCAATATACCTACCACATATTAAGGACTTTGTATGGAAAAATTAACTAGCTCATTAAAATACTGGTTATATGTTAATATGTATTATGAAAAGTAACATCACTGGATTCTGTTACTTTTGGTGTGGCTACTACTTTTTTTTTTTCCCTGCGGTACCGGGGATTGAACCCAGAACCTTGTACTTGCAAGGCAGGTGCTTATACTGCTGAGCTGTCTTCCCAGCCTTTTGGTGGGGTTACTATAAAGTCTTTTGGGTGTTATATTTTATTTCTCTTGGGCTGTACACTTATTGTACAGCAGCACTGAATGGAAGAATGTCCAAGTGAAGGAAGCCTTGAGTGCCTTCTGCCAGCCCCTGGCCCTCCCCACGTAAGTTCAAGGAGTAGGGAGAAGGCTGTGGAGAGAAGGGCAATGCCCACCTGCGCCCCAGGAAGCCCCTTCCCTGCCCTATCCCAGTGGGTGGAGCGAGTGGAAGGTCCGAGCCCCTCAGAGCAACTGTCTCACACCGCACTTGTCTTCATCTCTGTAAGTGGCCATGGTGCCTGGTGACATGCCAGCCAGGAGAGCTGAAGACTGTTCAGGTGCCAGCTGAAGGGACCATCAGAACCTGGAGGGTTCATAAAGCTTCTTCCCCAAGCTTCTTCTGTAAGTGGCCAACTGCTGGGTTACCTCCTAGGACACATTACTCCTAACCAGGTCACCTATGTCCATCCTTGGGCTGTTACCGTGAAAACCAGCACCTTCTCTAACTTACACACAGTGGTGGCACCTGCTGGAACTTCACAGCACTGCTGCTTTTAACAAACCAGGATGTGAAATCTGATCTTAGGTTATATGCAGAGGGATAGCGGGTTTCAAAAAATAATCTCAAGTGACTGCAACCAAAAGAGGCTGTCACGTACCAGGCACAGCACCCCAGGGAGTGAGAGGAGTCAGGACCTTGCCTGAGGGCACCTCCCTTTGGCTTGGATCCCTATCTCCCTTTCCCATCACCCTCTTAAGCCAGCTCTGCTCTTCAAAACCTGATGTAGTTAGACCCCACCTCCTCCCAGGTGTCTCCCCAGTGACCAGATTTCCCAGCCTGCTGTAAAGCATCTATATGCGTTGGAGCTGCGTGACTGTGGGCTTCATCCTCAGTGAGTGGTTAAGGCCACCTGTATACTTGACTTTGGAGTCAGGTTCTCAGACCTGAGTGTAAGGGTTGGGATCACTTGCTCTGGCTAACAGATGTCCCTCTCTGTAACAGGGAGCTACAGGCTGCTTTGCAAATAGTTTCACTTTAACCCCACCTCCAAAAGAACCAGATTGACATGAAAAACATGTTACTTATAATTTCTCCTGCTTACAGTGTGTGTCGTTACAATCATTGGTACAATAAATACGCAAATGCAGAACAGACCATCATCACGGTGGCCTCCCATCCGAGCCACGGGGACAGAGGGATGCTGCAGGCCCCCCATCCTTCCCACGAGATGGGTCAGGAAGGCCTCAGAGGGTTCCCTGAGGGTGAAGGGATGTTGGCTGTGGACTCCGAGGGACTAGGATTAAGCAGTCAGCTCCACCCATCCTAGTGTGTCTATTAAAGCGACAGATACAGGCGTTTACCACATGATAGGAAGCCAAAAGGCTCACAAGCCCCTGCTCATGCCAGGCAAAGCAGACACTAGCGAAGGCAGAGCTGTGCCCCGTGGGCCTCCCCAGGCTGAGTCTTCTTGTTGTCATCTCCACCTGCCATGTACATTGCCGGGGAGAACCGAGTTCACGCGGCTGCACTTCCTGCGCCGTGGCACTGGCTGCCTGCCATGGTGGCTGATGTCTGCCAAAAGAGAACCGGAAGCAGCCTGGAGCTCAGAATCTGGCAGGATTAGCAGTGGTGATTCTTGAAGCATTCCTTCTGCTGCCCTGGCTTGGCTTCCTCTTGACCACGCAAGCTGAATGCCTGGGCCGTGCTGAGGGGGAGAGGGGAGAGATGCCCCTATTCATCTCCTGTGTGCTCCCTTTTCCCGACCAGCTCTTGGGCCAGTGCAGCATGCTCTCTCTTTTCTCATCCGTGGATGCAGAGTGTTCTGAAAGCCAGCCTCGCTGCTCTAGTGCTAGTTTCTGACCAGCAGTGTTGGGCCAAGGCCACGAGGCCCCCTATTCCTGTTGCCATGCTGGTTGTCCTGGGGGGTGCCGCCCATGCTCCGAGGCTGTCAGCTGTCTGTGTGCACACATGTGAACACAAGGCATCTGAGCCCCCGTTAAGTGGCCTAGAACCTTCCCTGGTGAAACAGGCTGCAGAGACATCAGGCTTGCCATCATCCAAAGTGTGACAGTGGACAAGAGAATTGTTCGGGTTGGACGGAGTAGAAGAAAACAGATATTGTAAAGAGACCTATGCTTCACAAGGACGTTCCGTGCTGTCAAAATGAGACAATCAGCGAGTTCCCTATGAACTCCAAGGGTCAGGAGCTACCAGTTGAGGTTCATCCATCATGGAACTGACCAATCTCAGGGTTGTCACCTCTACTAGAGGGAAATTCACAAGGAATTAAGTCTTCTCAGAAGCTGTTTCTGCCACTCAGCAGGGGAGAATTTTGGAGGCTTTTAGCATTCCATAATTATTAAATACCACGATCAGGCCAGCAGACAGCCTCCTGTGTAAAAATGTCTTTAATACGCCATGCTCATACATTCTCAAAGTCGGGAGGCTTAGGCAAGTCCTAATTTCAGGCTAGCAGTAGGAACACCACAGAAGTGACAAAAATAACATGGGCAAAAGAGATGAAGTCTTTCTTGCAGTCATTTTGCTCCTGCCAATTTCCTGCAGCTTCCAAAGTAGGTCTATGACAAACATGTACTAATTTAAAAATGAAATAAGGTAAAAAAGAAAAGCAGGTCAGGCCATCCCAGCTCAGGTCTACTCCAGGAGGGCGAAGCTAACTCATTTTTTAAGGAATAGCCTAGTTATTTATAAAATCATTAGAGTCCGAAACAACTGTGGACAGGAGTGGGGCTTGGGCTTTAGGTCAGTTCTTCTTGTGTTGTGGCCAATAGACAACTTGGGACTTCATTTTTGACTCCAAAGTGAGACTCCTGGGCCATAGATGCCATCTTATTCTCTCTCCCTTCCTCTCATCCTTCTCCCCCTTTCTTTCTCTGGCTTTTATTTCCACCAAGAAATGGAACTTGAAACTATGTTTCCTGAAATTCCAGTCAGGTCTCTGGTCCACGGGACAGGACTGTGAAAATGGCCCAGTATGTTACAGTATGTGTCAGTTCTGGCAAAAGGAAATCCAAGCAAGTTAACTCCTCCTGTGAAGAAGGCTGCTGAGTTTCAAAAGCAAGCTCCTCTGAGCGAGTACATTCTGGTCAGGAAGCTTTGAGAATAAAGAATTGCCAGGATACTTGAAAACATCTCGGGTGAAACCTTGGTTGGAACTGTGTCCCAGCCATGCACAACCCACCCGTAGGTGACTCAGTCTGTGATCCAGAGTCCAGACCTCTCTGCCATCTCACACGGGTAGAAGAGTCAGGTCAAGGTTCGGCCTTCCCACACATGGTTCACGCTGTGGGGGGCTGTGGCACGTGGGTGGGGGAGGCCGGCAGGCCCAGGGTGAAATGTCTGCAGGTTGAGCTCCAGAGAACACCTGGAGGAGTTTCAAGAGTCCAGGGAGCCAAGGTGTGTGGTGTCCAAAGCTGGGTGCTTCCACAGGGCTCAGGGAGTCCCTGGACCTCAGGGGAAAGTCTCGGTTTCCTTCTTGATGGCTGGTTTATAAATGACCCCCTTGTTTTCACCTTTTTTGCTACTAGAACAATAGTAAGAGGACAGCATCAGTCATGTCAGTCAAAAAGGAGAGGGTAACCAGAGAGCAGCCTGACTCGGGTACGGAATGGAGGGGCTTTAGAAGTCGGATCCCTCTCTTCGGGACTTTGCTTGCCGTGGGAGTTCCTCTTAGCAGGACATTAATGAACTACAATGGAACCTGTTCATGTTGCAACTGTTCTTTCCTACCTGACAGTGCTAGACTTGCATTTTGAAGATCTCCTTATATCCTGTACTTCAGACTTTTGGTTTCATGATTCTCAAAATTATTTTTTAAAGTTTTCTTACCAGAAAAGGTAACTATGTTTAGGGAAATCCAAAATGGCAATAAAACCACGAGCCAAGGGAATGATAGCTAACATGAGAGTGCAGGTTTTCTCTTATTTTTCTCCCTGGATTCACTTTTTAAAAAACCTAGATCTTAGCAAGAAGACAGCCTTGCTGGGGCTGGGGAGATAGCTCAGCAGTCTAGCCACCTGCCTGGCAAGCGCAAGGTCCCAGGTTCAATCCCTGGTACCACATGCAGTGCCAGCCCCTGAGTCCCAGGTGTGCTGTCCAGCCACCGATACCAGGGGTGGTGGTACACACCTGTAATCCCAGTGCTGGGAGGCTGAGACAGGAGGATCACTATGAGTCCAAAGTCTGAACTGCATAGTGAGACCCTGTACCAAATAAATAAATGATTTTTCAAAAATTTGTTTTAAAGATAGCCTTGCTGATTGTATTTGGGTACAAACCCCAAATCAAGAGACTTGTCCAAGGTCACACAAATAATTAGCAATGGCAGCAGAGCTGATAGACCCACAAGTCTGAGCGCAGTGACCTTTCTGTGATGAGCGGACCCTGTGAAGGAGGCACTGGCGCTCCGGACAGGTCTCTAAGAATGGGTGCCAGCTGAGGTGCCAGGCTTGGCCTTCTGCAAGGCTGCCCACCCAGACAGGCTGACCAGCACAGACACACACACCACCTGTGTCCGTCGACCCAAACCAGCTCACCTCTTCTTCCTTCTGAAGAGCCAGATGGCCACTCCCAGGACAATGCAGATGCCGAGAACACCAGCCAGGACCACAGACAGGATGATGCCTGTGGAGGAGCAGCGGGCACACATTACGTTTTCCCCACCCACCGAACCCCAGTGCGCACAGGTGTGCAAGCCACATGATCATTCCAGAAAGGTGCACTCTGGGCTTTGGCTTAGTGGGGCTGACTGGGGTCCCTGACAGTGGCCATTTACAAAGAAAAGTGGGTTTCCAGGAAGAGTTCTCAAGCTTGTATAAAAATCATCTGAAAAGCTTGTTCTAAATGTAGGAGTTTTGTGGTTTTTGTTTTTCGCCCAAGCCTGAGAGACTCAGGTTTAATCTGTGTGGCACGGGGCCTGGGAACCTGCATTTTACCAGTGCCTCCAGCTGATGCTATTGCAGGTGACCTTTGAACCACAGTTTGAGAAACCCGAAGTTTAGAATAACAATTTTTGCATTTATTTCTGGGCCGTCTTTTCAGTTTTTGACCCCAAGTTCCTGAATTTTGCTCCCCACTCACCTGACCTCCACCCTGGGCTTAGAAGTATTTTCAGACAGTGTCCTCCCCCCATGACCAACAGAAGGTCTCAGGCTGATTTACACATGCTGTACAGTGATTAGGTCTTTGATTAGAGCGACATTTGATTGGCAGTTCATCTTTGAATTAGAGGCTAAGGCACAGAGTAAGGAGGAGGGCAGGAGCCAGAATGACAGAAGAGAGAAGCAGAGAGGAGGGCTGGAAGGACGGCAGGCCCAGGTCACACGGAGAATCACAGATCACCCAGCTGCGGCATGCACGGCCCACTAGCCACATACCCATACTCAGTTCTGCGCCGGTAAGGAGTTCGATTACAACCAGGGAAGGAAAAGAGGGGAAGTTAGAGTCAAACTGTGCTGAATATAACCACGGGTTGCAAGAAGCTGTACCTTGTCCTTCCTTGGCTTATGCAGCCCTGCAGGGCATAGTCACCTTTGGGTTGGATGACTGTCTGCTGGGGTGGAGGGAGTGCCCACCCACCTGGGGACTCCATCCTCCCCCTCTGGGGCACTGGGCACAGTGAGGGACCATGACAGAGAAGGCAGGGACAGAGCTGATCCCAAGGGGCAGGGTGGGCCATTCTCCCTGTTCTTGCCAGCCACCGCCAGCAGCTCACAGCCTCCTGGTGCCGGAGAGATTCCACAGGCCAGGTCCCCAGTAGCCCTGCTCTGTGTCCTGTCTGTGGTGTGGGGAGTGCTGGGGCTGAGTCTCCATCTGGGGGGGGCACATGTATGCACAGCTTGTGCTGTGTTCCCCACCTGGCCTGGGGTACCACTTGGTGTTTGGGTTTGCGGTTTTTATTTAATGGTACATGGAGACTTTGCCCCTTGGGCTTGCAAACAAACAAAACCTGGCCATGGTTTCTTTTCTAAGCTCTGTGATGAAATGCACTTCTGTTCTTTGCTCCTGAAACTCCAGAAGCTAACAGTACCAAACCAGTTCTTACCACATGAAAACTATTACGAGTGCGCTTGGCCACTTTTCCAAGCCGTCCTTCACGGTCACCTCACATAGCCCGAGAGCCACACAGGACTTTAGCACCAGGCAGGCCAGTCTCTGGCTGGTCTGGATCTGCTGATCCATCAGCAGAGAGCAAGGCCCCCAAGATGGGCCTTTTCTCCAGAGCACGTGACCAGCTCGGTGGCTTTTCCAAAGGGAGAGTAGCTTTCCCCTCTACTATGTGTGGTTCACTGTGTGGTGCTTTTGTCTGGAACGGGCCTGACAGACTACACTGCTGTAACCCAAGTGCTTTGTCCCTATTGGGCAACTTGTCAGGTGTAGAATAGAGCCCCTTGAAAACAATGAAACACAACCAGTCATGAGGACAGGGAACCAAGAGCCTGGAGCAGGTGCCCTCTGCACCTGAGATTCAGCAAAAACAAAGCTTGACTGAGCACACAAAGACCCCGCAAAGGTCACAAAGAAAAAGCAATGCCAGCTAAGGGGTCAGCTAGCAGTTCTGCCCCCTCATGGGGACAGCAGGGTATGGTTGGAACCCCTGCCCTGCCAATCCAGGCAGCAACCAACCATCCAGGAGGCAGACTTCTCTGCAGAAATGGAGCAAGCCTGCAGGGCCAGGGTCCCATTGGAGGCAGAGCCGGTGACTGCTAACTACAAGCAGAGGGAAAACCAGCAAGATGTGCCTGGCTCAGGGCAAGTCAGAGAACTACAGCTGGCAAAGAAAAGCCAAACCCTGTTTCACAGCAAAGCCTCGGCTGGGTGAGGCCCAGTCTCTGGGCCACTGTAGAAAACAGGCCTCAAAGATGGTGAGGTTCAGATGAAACGAAGAAGTGGTCTGTTTATAGACAGGAACCGAGACAGGCATGTCCCACTGGGAACAATGACACAGGCAGGAAGAGCCAAGACAGACTGTTTCAGAGGTGGCGCATCGCAGCCACTGGCTAAGAACTGCTGGCTGGTGCAGGGACACATGCTGAGCTCCCTGCTGTCCACAGAACTCTCAGGTTTGAGTCAGGGTGAGTGGACAGAGGACAGTATAACACACAGAAGGAAAAGACACTGACACAGGAGAACTGGAATGTGCATGCCTTGCCCAGGGAGGTGCAGACGCTGGAGGAGGCTGGGAGCTGCTGGCTACGTGTTCTGGCTGGCCTGGGAACTGCATCTTCCACTGGCATCTGGCTGGCCCGAGGCTGCTGGGTAACTGCTTTTGAGGTCGCCTGCAGCCTCAAGTGTAAACACAAGTCCAGCCCGAGGACCAGGCACCCATGCATGCATCTTGGGGTTCCTGAAACAACAGCCTAGTATTTTCTAGCTCCTTTTGCAATTCTACCTGATGACAATCTTTTTCTTTTCAAAGTCCTATTGTAAAGTTCAACTCTTGTAGGCAGCAGCTTATACAGTGATTATATACATATATATATATATCTTCGGCCATCTGGTCTTAGAAGAGAGAACAGGAGAGTTTAGTTTACCAAAGGTTCCATCATGTAGCTACATGAAATCCAGGGTAGTTTGATAAAATTCCCATTACTGAACTGTATTGTAAACCGTAAAGTCAAAAACTACAGCGCTGTTGCTGTTTGGCTAATGCTTTGGTAAGCGAAGCAAGGCTCGGGCCCTCAGTCACCAGCGCATGGCTGTCTCTGAGGAGTCACTTAACTGGGAAGCTTTCCTTAGGAACACTATGCAGCCCCGTCAGGAAATTTGTACAAAGAGCTCTGCCACGGAGGCCCCGTCAGATTACACCCTGCACGGGTCATACAACTGGGTAGAACTCAGGGCTTTGTCTCCCAAGTCGCAGGAAAGGAGCCTGGCTCACTGCACTGAGGGGCCGAGGTCCTAGAGCTGCAGGGTGGCGGCCCAGGGTGCTGGTGGCCGCCTTGCGTGGCCCAGGGCAACTGAGCTACAGGAGTGACAGGTGGCAGAGCTGGGCCTTCTCCTTCTGTCAAGTTAGAGCCACGGAAGGCAAGGCGTGCAGCACAGCTGTCCCAGTCCTTCGGAGCCAGACAGGAAGTTCTGATCTTCAGTTTTTCTTTAACATACTGGCTGCTTTCAACAGAACAACATATGGGTTGATTGAGAACAGAGCAAAGTGAAACTTAATAAAACTAAGCTTTGGCAACTGGCCAGGCTCACATACAAATCACTCTTCAGAGAAGGCCTTGGTGAGCTGGTGGGGGAAGGGAGGCGAGTTAGTTACATTCTTTCAGCATGCTTATAATGAACACCAGGCACAGTGCCAGGCTCAAAAAGCAAGTGAGACATCAACTATCCCTTTGTTGAGGAGCTTCTACAGTGTGTACGATAGCTCTTTCTTTCTTTCCTTCCCTTACTGTTCTTAAATTGTGGTCAGAAATAATTGCTCTCTGGTGCCAGGTACTGTACCAGGGATGAGTAAGTTCAGTCTGGCTGCACTGAGGTGACCCTCAGTCACCTGCAGGGGAGCAGGGAGGATTGCTGAGGCTGTGACTATAGAGTTGGGGTTGGGGAACGGGAGAGCCACCCCAGACGAAAGGAATGGTGTGTGTCCTGGGAGGTAGCTTCCCATAGGGTTTCTTGTCTTCCTACAGTTTGCTGGGACTGAGGCTGAGAGGACAGGGCTGGGTGCTGTGACAGCTGTTGGCTGGGGCCCTCACTAAGGCGAGGATCCCACTTTCTGCCTAACCCCCTCCCACTGTCGTCTGGGGCCCGGTCTGCTCTGTGCCAGGGGAGCAGAGTGATGCCTGGTAGGGTTTTCTGTCCCCACAGTTCATAACCGGGCTGTATTCAGGAAACACATGGGGTGCCGGAGGGGGCGGGAACTTCACTTCAAGCGCAGCTTGTCAGCGGGAATCTGAGCCAGGACTCCTCTGGTCACTTGGTTGGACACTTTGGAAGGACCAATGATACTCTTCCAGCTGATACCTTTTATTTATAAATAAAACTTAAATACAAGGTCAGTCTCTACAACACATTCTAATCTCCAAATATTAAATAATTAGCCATCTTAGCTGGAAGGTTTCCTCTCTCTTAAGGCTTTCTAAAACTATGCAGGTCCTTATAGGCCAAGCAGATGCCAACCGGGTTCCTCTACGATCAGGGCTGTGGTCCTACAGCAGGGGACGTGCATTTGCTTAGAGCAGGCCTACTGAAGACGTGATTATTGAAACGTTATGGCCTCTATTTTTTCTGTGGGGGGTGGCTACTGGGAATCGAACTCAAGACCTTGTGCTTTCCAGGCAGGCTAGCTATATTCCCAGCCATTCTGTGACCTTCTTTTGTTCTATGTCCCTCACCTGGCAAGTCAGGAAAGGTGCCAGCTGCTGTTAGTGCTGTATTTATGTTTGATGGGCCATTGCTATTAGGTGTCACCATCTGACCCCAGAGCCAGTGTCACAGGGGAAGAGGGCAGCCCGAGGCAACCGAAGATCAGGCCAAAGCCCTAAACCTCAGTCCCTGAACAGGCATCTGCTTCTGCCGCCTGTCTCATTACCTGAGGCATCTGGCTTTTGTGCCACTGGAGATGGTCCCAAGATGATTGCCCTCTCAGGGAGCCCACTTCAAGAATAAGCTCAGGTCTTCTTTGGAAGAAGCGCCTTTTAAGAGCTGAGAAAGTAACTAGCATTTTAACCAAAGGCAACAACAAACAACGTACAAGAGAAAAAAACTCCTACAGAAGGTGGTGGTGGGGCAATGAGAGAATTCTGAGGGAAGTTGCAACTTCAGAAGCCCCCAGCCCCCAGAGAAAACAGTCAGGGTGCCCTCTTAAGGGGGCCAGTCCCCTTCATGCCATTTCTTAGCCTCATTTCAAAAGAAGGGAAGATGGAGAAGGAGACATCTGTTGGATGTATTTGTTTAACTCCAGTAACTTCAACCTTGTTTTGGCCACAATCAGTGCAAGACTGAAATTTTCATGCCATAACAGAATAAGGAAAAGAGCAGGCCCGGTGATATAGGACTCCAGCATCCCATGACACAAGGAAAAAAAATCAGTTCTGGGCCTAGGAGAGTCACTGAACAACCCGTGGGGCAGTGTATCTCAATAAGGGGCTTTTTTTTTGTGGGGGGGAGAATCTCACTGTGTATCATTCAGACTGGCCTTGAACGCCCAGGGATCCTCCTGCCTCAGCTGCCTCAGCTTCCCGAATGCTAGAATTACGGGTGTGCACCACCACGCCCCTGGCAATGTCTATAAATATTGTTGGCTTCCACAATGGGAAGATGTTACTGGCCTCTAATAAGGACAGACCAGGGGTTCTGCCTGAGCTGTCTGTGGTACCAGGGTTGAGAAGCCCTCTCCCAGCGCAGGACAGCTGGAGTGTCAGCCTCTTGGGTCAGCAAGCAGGTTCTGTGATGCTTTTCTTCTGTGCTTGCCAGGCAAGCATGTGATGCTTTTCTGAGCACAGTCTAGGAAGATGGCAGAGTCAAGTGAAATGACTGAGTCCCTGTTGTCCCTGTTTGCTAAACCTCAGCTCTTTGCCCCTCCCACCAGTCTCTCCTAGAGGACTTCCTTTGCTCCTGGCCGAATTTCCTGACTCCATAAGTCTTGGTCACATCCAGAGAAAATCCTGAGTAAACCAGGCCCTAATTAGAAACATGCCTCAGCAGAAGAGTCTACAAATAATTGTGTCCAAATTGCTCGAGGCTCATCCGTAAGCCCAACACAGTGTGCTACAGTCTGGGACCTGCTCCTCTCCTAGCAGCATGTGTAACACCCCTGGGCAGGTGAGGCTTGGGGCTTCACAGCTCGGCGGCCACCTCATCTTTGCTGCTGGGAAAGCAGCTGTGTTAGCTGCCTGTGTCACTGGGAAATAAGAGGGACCGGAGAATTCTGGCCAGGTTTCTATAATCAGCCTCCAGGTGAACAGGTCTGCCCTGCGCCGCTAGGAGTTCTCACTGCCAGGACAAAGCTGAGCCCAGCCTGGGCTCATGGAAGCTGCCTGAGAGCTCAAGCCATGCAGGGCAGGGCAGCAGCCAAGGTGCACCTGGCCTTGGATCTCGCCTTCCAAGCTTCCTGAGCCGGTGCACAGGCTTCTGCTTCGAGCCTCTCCACCTACGCAGCCCAATGCGAAGAGTGTACTCAAGCGCTCTGCTACAAGCCTGCCTGCACTACCCCCGTCTACAAGCAACTACTCAGACGGCAGCAAGGGCCAGAAGATGGCTAATTCCTCCCCAAGCCACAGTCCATCATTACAAGTGGGAGGTTACTGTTGGACGTCATAATCAAGTTCCTGCCCGGTTTCTTCTGATCGTCTGTAACTGCCCTCAATCTCTGTCCCTGCAATGTAAAGTTAGGGTTGGTAGTTGTTAGTGTCCACTGAAAGTCATAACATATTATTACACTGCACTGCTAAAGAAGAGATACAGCATTACCACATCACACTGCGGAAGAAAACGAGGTGAGGCCTTGAACCAAGGACTCCTAATGTTTGTCTCCTTGTTTCCAAGGATGTGCACAGACTAACTAGTTCAGGAAGCAGACCTCAAAAAACCAGAACCCTCAAACCAGAAGCCAAATTTACCTGATCTATGAGGGAAAAGGTCCCCTATCTCCACAGAGTTCGTTATCTTTAAGGGGTTTTTGTTTGTTTGTTTTTTAAAATGTATTTGGTAAAGGATTTCACTATGCAGCTCAGACTTGTAGTGATCCTCCTGTTTTCAGCCTCCCCAGCACTGGGATTATAGGCGTGTGCCACCACACCCAGTCTTGGTAGCTGCCCAGTGTGCCTGGGGGTGGGGCTGGTGAGGCACGTGTTGCTGGGGATTGAACCCTGGTCCCTGCACTTGCCTAAGCAGGTACTTAGTCTACTGAGCTAATATCTCATCAGCCCAGTATTTTAAAGTTTTGTTTAAGTATTGCAGTAGTTCCATTTATGCCGTAAATACTATGTATTTCACTTGGACGAATAGGACAAGAAAATGCTCTGTCCAGAACAGATCACTCAGGAGATCATTCTGGGCATTTGGCTCATTTCTTAGAAGGACATTGTTGATCACCTTACAGGTTCTCAGTGTTAGGAAGGGCCATTGTTCATGGATTCAGTTTTCAAACTGAGAAGCTGAGGAAAAGAGGGAAGTGACCTTAACTAGTGCTATCTGAAGAGAACACAAAGATGAGTTCTTGGGCCACTCTGAATTCAGTACCAATAGAGCAGGGCAGAATTCTGACCATAGAAATGGGTCACTCAGAAGGGCAGCTTTCTAACTCTACTACAGAAGCCTTGAAATGGTCTTCATCTACACACTAAACTGACGGCTGATGGTTATAATAATCTCATATAGTAAAAAAAGGAACAACAACAAAATGCACCTGGTTAGGGACCTCCCCTGCTTCTGCAAACCTGAGAGCCCCAAGGTGGAAGGGGGTTGAGAACCCACAGGGAAAAAATGTACTCTTAAGTTCTGAAGAAGGATGTGGGTCCCTGGTCCCTTTCCAGAAGTACTGATAGAGGCTCGGAGCAGACGAGATGCTAACGTGCTCCCCGGAGCTTGCATTTAACGGGAGGTGTGGGCCTCCGTAGCAGGAAGGAACCAAACTATCAGGCTTCATTCAGTTTGAAACAGGTATGCACGTGCTTTTAGGCAGCACCAAGGAGATTAGACGAAGAAATCTATGAATGAGGGTGCTTTCTTCCCAATGCTATGGTAGACCTCGAGCTTACAAGGAGTGCTGCAGGATGTCGGTGGTAAGTGAATCACCTAAGTAAACCCAGGCAGGGTGGCCGCAGCCCTTGAAGCCAAGAAAGCCTAGGAAGAAAGTCAGATGTGAAACCACGTAACGAGGGGCCTATCGTGTGCTGTAGGAGACAGACAGTTCCTTGAGCAGACATCCCCTAGGGCGTCTTCCCCATCTGTGGGAGGCTGCCAGACTCCACGGGCCTGGAGGTGCTTCCCTTCAAGGACTCGGGGAAATGGTGAGCTGTGAAAGGAAACCCAATAACAAGCCCCTTTCTGCAGCTTCTGGTTGTGCCCAGGTTCCTCAGGCAGCCTTCCGTGGGCACCAGTGCCACAGTCAGACCTGCTTTGCCACATACATCCTGCCACTTGAGCCCGCCCCACCCCGGTACTGCAGCCCTCACCTTGTCGGAAGGAGATGTACACCAGCCTCTCTTCAAACTTTTGGACTTGCCGGAAGTTGTTGACCATTTCCACGGGGGAAGGGTCACCCATATCTGTACAGTACAGGGCGGTCTCTAAAGCCAGCAGCTGAAGGGATGAGCAGAAACAAACCCATGGCAGACTGACTCTCCCAGAGGAGGAACGCAGAGGAGAAGCCCCCTGGGGGGGTCTGGAGGAGGCAATAAAAAGCAGTGCCAGGGCACAGTACTGCTTCCACACTGCCCCCACCAGCGGGGCACTGGGCAGAGGTCAGTGCCAGCTCCCGATTATGCCACAAGAGTCTGCCCCACGGACGAAGGCTGGAGAGGGACAGAGGACCTGTCAGCCTCTCCATGAACCTGAAGTGAGACCCAGCTCTGAAAATAGAGGACCCTTAGCTTGTTCCTACGGGCACTGAAGCAATAAAAGGAGAGAGTAAAAGGTTCCTGAGTCATCTGCCGGTCGCTTTCTGGCGTTTTCTTCCACACCCCCACAAAGATGATGCAGTGGGTCTCTGAGGGAGTTCCTGGGTGAAGGCGCTGCTGCTTCCCCACGCATGTCACCTCTGCTTCTGCACATCCTGGCTCCTGTCCACCCACCTGCTGCCACTCTGGGTAGAAGCTTGTAGTAGCAAGCAGGAACATGGTGCCTTCTGTCCCGGTGTGGGCGTCAGGTGGGCGGTGTGCCCCAGCCACCTCCCCTGGGCCTGGGTTTGTTCCCCACGCTTGTGGATATGGAGTATGACAAGGAGCCATGCCTTGGAGAGCCGCAAAGCCCGACTCTGGGTCTCACATCTGTCACTCACCAGTGCTGATCCTGCGGGGCTCCCGACCCCCACCTCCAGCATCTGCGTCCTGAGAGGCTTAGGGATGCTGGCTCCAGGCTTTGCTCCCCAGCTCATGCTGGCTTCTAGGAGCCCTGACCCCCCCGCCCCCAGTTACTGCTGTGACCCCAGCATGCTGTTTGATAAAGTGATAAAGGATTTCACCTGACGAAGACTGCAGACTGTTCTGCCGGCTGAGGGAACCAGGTTCCCTCCCACTGAGGAAGCAAAGACCACCCGGCCAGCAGGGGCTGGCTTAGCAAATTCAGCCATACAGCACAGGCTCCTCCTAAGGACAAGTATTCGCTTTGCAAGCTCAAGCTCTAGCTGTGCTGCAAGGCCCAGCGCGTTATCCCTCCAGGGTTTGCAGCCACCACTGGTATTTGGAGAGGTTTGGAACAGCTGCCAGTGGAACTTTAAGCAAAGAAAAGCAGTCACGAACTGTCACCTACTCTATAGTGGAGACGGTGTACACTTACCTGCTCTGGGGACACTTGTGCAGTGTTCCGGAAAACCGTCCAGAGCACAGTGGGGTTGCAGGGCGGGGTGGTCAGGGACCCCTCGTAGCGGTAGTACTCGGCAGGCTTCTCAGGAAGCAGCTCCTCGATATTGAAGCCTGGAATGCGCACTTGCTGACCTGGGGGGACATCGGGAGAGGGGGTAGTTGAGCCTGCTGCCTATAGCGGGGCACAGTAGGGCGCCCGTCATCCCAAACTCGCCCTTTTCTAGGTCACCGTCTGAAGCGCTGTTACAGCACAGCACAGCGCCCTATGGTCCTTAACCGGGTGAACACTTAACAGCAGCCACCCCTTGCAGTGTTCGACTCGAGGGGACACAGGAGCAGTGTGACTGCTCCAGCAGAGAGGCAGTAAGCGTCCTGGGGCCCCTCACCTTTGTACTTCACATGTTTCAGGTGACTGAAGATCTTGTCATAGGACGGGTTGAAGGAGCCCCTCTGCAGCAGAGATCAAGAGTTGAGCTAGAACAAAACACTGCGGGCCAAGCCTAGACAGACAGCTGGTGTCCACAGGGCTGGGCTGCAGGTCCGCACAGTCGCCCGCAGGTCCCCTCCGATGGGCCACCTCACTAGGGGACTAAGGTGTCACAAGGGTGTTAGGAATTAGTAAAATGGCCCTGCTTCTTGCATCAAAGGACACCCTCTTTTTCTGTCAGGCCTTGAGCCCAGGGCACAGGGTGTAGTGACTGGTGTGTCCTCTGAGTCATAAGCCTAGGGACTCCTGCGGGCCCAGAAGCCAGGCCAGGGGAGGAAGCATAGTGGGAAATGAGGTGTGCGATTCCATTATGGGGGAAACGAAAGCTAATCAGAAGACTTCCCATTTGCAGGGATTGAAGAAGGCATCCTGGGACCTGTATACAGGGGGCGCTTGGACGCCAGGTCATAGTTGGGTCAGGCAACCAACGGGACAATGCAGTGACCCCTTCTCTCACAGGGCTTCCCTGGCTAGACAGTTCTGTACTCATGCAGCAAGGCTGGAGGTTGGGGCTCACGATTCCCTGTCATAAAAGACAGGTCCCTATCCATTGCTGCTCCCCAGCCTGCAGGAGAAGGCACCAGAGGGATGTACCCCTGCTCTGGAGAGAGGACACGGCCCACTGAGGGCCAGCTTGGGGCCACGAAACAGAACACCAACTCTCAGTCTTATCCCGGCTATAGATTTCATGTGCATCCCCTTAAACATCTCTTACCTCGAGGAGGACAGCTAGGACGGCGAGGCCTCCTGAGTGCTCACTGGCGGCGCTGATGTTAGGGTACTGGTCTGAATTATAATGGACAATGTGCAGCTGCAGTGGGAGGTGGAAAAAAGCCACCAGTCATGGGGCGGGCAACTCACAGGGACTTTCTGGGCCTGAGGAGACTTGAAATTAAGTGGGAAGGAAGATGCCATTCCTGCCTTCCCCCAGCGCAACTGACTCTCCCCTCCCAGCATCTGAAGTGTTCCCTTTTCCCTCAGTCCTTTCCAAAATGCAAACTTCACCAGTGTAGAAGACTGGTGGGTCCCTGAGTCTGATAGGGTGCTTAGGAGTGAACACTATGGAACCCACAGACATGCATGGATGGATGGATGGATGGATGGATGGATGGATGGGTGGATGGGTGGATGGGTGGGTGGATGGATGGATGGATGGGTGGGTGGATGGATGGGTGGATGGGTGGGTGGATGGATGGATGGATGGGTGGGTGGATGGGTAGGTGGATGGGATGGTGGGTGGGAGGATGAATGGATGGGTGAGTGGGTGGGTGGGTGGGTTTTCATATTATCCATTAAAAAAGCCTGGGAACTTGGGAGCTCTCTCCTTTCTGATTTTCCTACTTACACTGGAGCCTGAGGCAACGTGGTCCCCAGTGACTGGCACTGGATCTGGAAGGGCTGGGGATAGGTGGGCAAGTAGCTTCCCACTGTAACGTAATCATTATGGATACAGCAAGGGACATATGTGTTTATACACTAGAGGGAGCAAATCATGACCCAGCTTTGGTAAAGGTTTTATCAGCGACTATTAAAGAGGCCATAAGGGGGCCTGCCCCTTAGCTCAGTTCTTTCAGTGGCTGCTTCAACAAAGCAGTCAGGCTCAGGTTGCTGTGGTTCGATCCCCAAACTCAAGCCAGCCAAACCTGCCCTGAAGGCATTCGGAGCAAAAAAAGAAAAAAAAGCCATAAAACATGACTCTATGGGCCAGGGAGATAGCTCAGTAGAAGAAGCGCTTGCCTGGAAAGTGCAAGGGCCTGAGTTCAATCCCTGGTTCTGCCAAAAAAAAAAGTAAAAAAAACCCATGACTCTAGACTCTATAAAATAAAATTCTCAAATTACTTCTTTTCAGAGGAGAAATTATTTGTCATTATTAAATAAGAAAAAGAAAATTTTCTCTTTTCTGTATTTTAGGGAAGCGTCCACAGGGTATTCAGGGTCTCACTACTAGATCAGACTCACAGTGATTCTCCTGTTTATAGCCTCCCAAGAGCTGGGATTACAGGCACGCGCCACCACACCCAGTCTCAATTGCCAGCTCAGCACACCCCAGGGGCAGGGCTGGCATGGCAGGCCCAGGGATTAAACCCCTGGCCCCTGTGCCTGCCTGCAGGTGCTTTAATCTGCTGAGCTATCTGGCCAGCTCAAAGAAAAGTTTTTGAGAAATTTTGGATTTAAGAAGTCCAAGAAGAGGGGTGTGTTGGTGCATACTTATAATCCTAACACTCAAGAGGCCGAAGCAGGAGGATCACTGTGAGTCTGAGACCAGCCTGAGCTAAATAGTTTAAGGCCAGCCTGAACTACATAGTGAGACCCTGTCTCAAAAAAAAAAAAAAAAAAGTCTAGGAAAATATTAAGACCATTGTTATGATAAATTCTGATGTTTAGTTTGACCTATGAGTTTTCTTTTTTCTTGCATTTTTATTGAGGTATCCCTGAGACTGAAACTTTGAGGTTTTTATCTCTAAATCTCTTTGCATTCCTTTTTCCACTCATGTGTCTATGAGTAGAATTCAAGCATGTTTTATTGACTGCAGTTTAATGTCCCCATTTGAACTTTTAAGTGGCCCTCTCTAATTTTGAGCACTGTATCAATTTATTTCTTCTTTTATGGGCTCCTCTCTTAGGAATTTCTTAGGGGTCCCTACTTCACCACCTTTTGCCCTAAAGGACAGAGCCTGTCACATTGCCCATTGATGTAGCCTAGCATGAATTTGAGACACAGCAGGATTCTAGGTGGTGGGGTCAGGGAGATAGCTCAGTAGAATAAACGTTTGCCTGGCAAACGCAGGGTCCTGAGTTCAATCCCCAGTTCCGCAAAAAAAAAAAAAAAAAAAAAAAGATGGCTAAAATTCCATGGCTAAATAAGTCCTGAGGCCTTATTTCTTCTTACCAATGCCCTTTGAACTTGTGGTCTGTCTGCATACTCTTCTTAATGTACTAAGATTAAATCAAAAGGAAATTGCTACTGAAGGGTCTAAGAGCCTTCTTTTAACATCTCTGTCTAGAGGAACCACTATTTTCAGATGTTCCCTAGAGAATCTGCCACTTTGGATCACCCTGATGTCTCCTGACAGCATTTAGAGTCCTTCATCAGCCTCTTGGCGTGATGATGTGTCTTAATAGCAGAAAATACAATGAGCAGAATTATTTTAAATGCATAAGCCAGACAGAGCTACATCCTTACTCCTTTAGTCCTCACGAGGGAAAGAGAAGTCTTAACATGGCAATTAGCCTGGAAGAAATTGCAGTTCTTGAGCTTCAGGGAAGGGCCTGCTCTGAAATCTGTGAACTTCTGCTAGTGCCATCCTACTGGGCCTGGATCAGGTGCCCTCCACACTTGCAAGCAAACCTGTAATTAGCCTGACACATCGAGCAGCTGAGCAGTTAAGGAAGGAGAAGGTCACCCTGGCATTTACCATGCAGTCCGCTGGCTGGTCACTAGCATTTATCTCTTTGCATTTATTTCCTGGTAAACATTCAGAACCACACACCCAGCTCATTGCTACAGGAGCAAAACAAAGCTGACCAACTCCCATCTCACCCCATCACGTGCTTCTGGTACAGGAAAAACACCTGTCTCTCCTCCTTTCCTCTAGCATTTTAGGTCAGCACCTCAGGGTGACATGGCTCCATTCTGTGTGGACACCCAAAGGCCTCAGGAGTCTCTGATTGCCATGATGCCCCACAGTCTATCCTGCCAGTCATTCCTGGCTTTTGGGCCAAGGAGAATAGTGTCCCTGTGTTCGTCCCCTGTTGACAAGCATACTCATATCCCAAGGAGAAAATCTGGGATAGAAAGACATTTGTATACAGCATGACATGTGAAGAAAGACTGAAGTGTGGGGCAGCAGTGAGCCCGCAGTGGGTTAGCATGAGCTGCACCAGCCAGGCAAGCACACAAGACCTCCACGGTGCCATCCTGGGGACCCAGCCTTCCCTACTGCATCACTCAGCAGGAGAGACAGACCAACTCAGCATGTCGGGGAAAGGGAAGGACCAGGACCCCAACGGGGGCTGTAGGATGGCCGGGGCAGCCGGCAGTGTTGGGCTGTGGAGGTAGGAGTTCCCTCACCTCCCTGCACACCAGCTAGCGCAGGGGCTGCCAGGTACTCACTAGGCAGCCTCCGCCAGACCACCTGCCCACTCACCTCAGCTGCGAAGTGCTTTCCACTGATGGTGTGCTCAGAACCGAAGGGCTCCTTGCTGTCCCCCCAGTGCAGGTGCAGCTGTGTGGCGCGGTATCGGTGGGAGCCGAGGCCCCGGATGTGCATGTCTGGGTGCAGGTGCAGCCTCACTGTGGGGAGTGCAGGAGGTACGTTCAGAGACCTGGTCAACAGGTGCCATGAGAGAACAATTGGGTAGGCAAACCCTGCAAGGCTCCAGACGGGGTGCAGGGGGCTGCAGCAAGGTGTAGAAAAGGTGCCTGCGCCCCGAGAGCATCTCTGTTAGCTCAGAGCAACTCCAGGCTGCTAGCACCTTCATGGTTCCCCTTGGAGAATGATGCTGGCTGTACTAAGTAGGCCACTGATGGACGCTGGCTTGTATGTTCATATATCAGACCCTGAACATGAAGATACAACCCTCTAGGCTACAGCAGCAATAATAATTGATATTTAGGAAACACTTATAATACTCCAAACCACTAAGAAGATAACACTATGCAATATATTAATTATTGAAACAGTCCTATTAATCAGTTTTGAACCTGTCTCATTGCTGTTGCTCAGTAAAATTAATTAAAAAAAAAAAAAAAACAAAAACCCTCCAGACCCAGGCATACCCAATCTCTAGACTTCACGGTACTCAAAACTATGTCGTTTTTCCAAATGAAAACACAAGAAGGTTAAAATTCATGTCCAGAGTCAGATAGTTCATGAACAGGCAACCGAGATTCACATCCAGATTTTCTGGAAGCTAAAGCCTGGATGTCCCCCCATCCCTGCAGCTGAATGGCTTAGTCCCGCAAGTAGCTCAAGATGACCCAGAATTTGTGCTCGCAGCGCAGCCAGTGGACCGAGGAGCTCCTCTCCAGTCCTGAGATGCGTGCTGCCTTGGCAGGATGACCCCAGCATGCCTCAGCTCCTCCTACTCAGCCCCTTCTGGGTGTCTCAGGGAGCCCCCTTCCTGTCACAAGGAAAAGGACAGGCCAGGGAGGCCAGGGAAACCCAGAATGTCCGCAGGTGTTTGTCTCACCTGAATGGCCATTATTGGTCAGGTTCAGCAGTTCCCCAGAAGATACGTTGTAACCCTGGAACTCGAGGGGCCCGAGGCTGGCGTCATACTGCAGGATTTCACTGTGCAGGTCTATCGGAGACTGCAGCAGGCCCCCACATGATGGGTACTTCTTGGACCAGTTCTTCTCCCCATTGGGACCTGGAAGGAGTGATTCAAGGCCAAGATTGAGTCCATTTCTACAAAGGTATTTCTTCACCTTTACTTCTATATTCAACACAATTACCGCTTCTCTCCTCTTAATCTTTAGAGGCAACCTTTTTAAGACCCAAAGATCCCACCCTAAGAACGAGGCCCAGCAAACACCTCAGGACCACTTGCCATAAAAGTATAATGAAGAACTCTGTGAGCCCTAGAGTCCTCTAGCAGCTCATGCCAGGGAGTAGAGCTCCCCCAGTTCTACTTTGTACGCCATACACATGCTCCCCATGTGGAGACGGTTGACGTGAGCAACTCATCATCTGTTAGTGAGCACCTAGACGGATCCAGGAGTTGCTCTGGGTCTTGGGTTGCCCCTGCAACCCCGAGATGGCCCTGAATGAATCTGCTGGGCTGTGCCCACATGGAAAACTGGAGTCTGACTGAATATAGATCCAGGTAGATCTTTAAGGCCAGTGGATTTTCAGACACGATCTTCCTGACAGGAAACCCTGGAGGCTACCGACTCCAGACCCACATCTAGAGTGCAAAACCCAACCCGATATGGTTGCATGAAAAAATGTCAATTAAAGGCCTAGAAGCACAGAGCTAACTGCGGGGGGTTTTGTGAGGGAAAAGTATGACAGTGCTCCAAACTAATTATTATGATATAATAGATAAACCATCCGTGAGGAAGAACAGACTTAGAAACAAAAATCCTTTCGGGCTCAAGCTTCTTGCTAACTACCAGATAGCAGTCATACTGCTGGAAATGAAAATAAACATTCCATGTTCAGATAAGCTATCCTACTCCCACTGGGAAAAATCTTTAAAGAATGTAAATCTATCTTTAAAAGATTATCTCCCGTGGTAATTAAACCAAGGCTGAAGCCTCTCCCGAAGAACAAGCCACTGGCGCACTGTGGCTCCTGAGGATTGAACAATGGGGCCCAGTGTTGGGTCAGAGCTGGGACCAAGCTTTGCCACCTGGGACCCATTCAGTCCTCAGGCACAAGGAAGGGTGGTATGCAGAATAAAGCGGAAAGGGGATCTTCTAGGGGGTCTTCTACAGACAACAGCACAGCCTCACATGGTGGGAGGAGCCTGTGTCTCAGAAATCTCGACCCCTACACCTTGGTCTCTAGGTAGGAGAATTCATTTAGAGTGAATAGAATCAGAAATAACATCTAGGGGAAAAATACTTGGTACATTTGTTCACCTAATATGCTAGGAAGAGTTGGTCCCAGGCTGTTTTACCAGGACTCGATACACAGCAAACTACTAAATCATCAGACTATCCAACTTTGTATGTAGCTTTTTGGAAACACTAGAGCCTGTCCGGATTGCAGAGTTTCAGTCTGATCTTTCCCT